TCATGACTCCTGCTTTCAAAAAATACCTAATGTTTCTACGAAACTTTCTCCTGGAAGTATGTTGAGTGGATTGTAACTTCCCCCCCCCATTTTTCTGGCTTTTAATTTCCCACTGTAACAGAATCTTGCGACAGTCACAAACAGCCTCACTGGAACTTTCTTTGGATTGACGGAACTAGGTTTGTGCGCTTGTTTTCTTCGTTTTCGGTAATAAATAGACTTTTTTTTTTTATTGCAGTCATTGAGGCAAATCCATGCTTCATTCAAGAATCACAATGAATTTGCATTTATCTTCTGCTAAATAGTTTACATTCTTGCCTCGGTAAAAGCTATGGTGAACCTAATGATTTTAGTTTTTTTTAATTTGCAAATCTTGGTTTATTTTATTTACTGTTGCTACGGGTGTATTTAAAGACTTTGCAACTGATTTCTTGCGCCGGCGGATTTTCTCTTATTACTAACTAGCGGAAGTATCCGATGCCAGTTAAGTTAGATTGAGAGTAATGTATTTAACAACAGAGAGAACGATATCGCTGTAATCTTTCTCTAATTATTGATCTTTGATGTAACAAACTCGGGTGAGGGTGTTCTCTTTTCTTATGAGTTATTTTTATTAAAAAAAGACAATTCACTTAAATGCATTTTTATTGTAAAGCTGTGCAATATACAATATTTTGAGTTTTACCACCAGGAGCGAAAAGGTAAAAAAAAATTCCAGTTTCTATCCTTGAACATGCTACGTACAACTGACCACGGGAAAAGCAAGGAGTTCCTATAAGAATACAGCAACTTTAAGCGATTGATCTTGAGCTATTGCCTCCTTCGCTACCGATTAATTGAGTTTTTGCAATGCTGAAATCATATCGGTCAGTATGATAGACTGCCTGTAGCAAGCGAACGATTAATTTTTTTTTTTTTTTTTTTTTAAAGTGGACGTCTACTTTTTCCAGGACCCAAAAAAGAATTGTAGAAAATTTTGTGATGATAGCTAGTAGTGTTTAAGTGCATCGCGAACAAACAAACAAACACACAAACAGACTTCTTCTCACGTATATTCGAATTTAGTCGATTAAATGTGGCAAATATTTATCATAATTGATCAGAAATCAATAAAACAATTCGAAAAAATAATCGATATTCTGTGGTCACATTTATCGATCGTAATCGAAATTAACTGAAAGAGTCGATACAAAGTTAGCTTTGTACATTATTGTTTCAAAACAAATTAGAAATCGACGAAATAAAAACAATAATGATTTTAATTTTATTTCCCCCGTAACTTTTTATATTAGAATCTTGAGTTGTTTCAGATTGAGCCCACAATTCTTCAAAATTTTCTCGCTATTATATGTCCTTCCCTTTCTGTATTTGTGCATGTATACACACTGACTACCAATAAGTATTCGGACACCTATGCAAATGACGATATCTGCGGTCCAAAGGTATGTCACGGTCTCCGCCGGTATATATCGTGTAGGAAACAGCATCGGCTTTAGTCGTATGCAAGATGCCTCGCAGTTCGGAGCTCTCTGATTTCGAGAAAGGTATAATTATCGGGTATCACAAATGTGGCTGATCCTGAAAGGACATATCTAGCGATCTGAAGTACCCAAAATCGACAGTGCCTATGTGATTAAGAAGTGGAAGGTGAGCGGTGATTGTCGGAATGTGCCCCGAGTCGGCAGACCAACGAAACTGGGAGATAGAGAACGACGAGTGCTGTCCAGAGAAATTCGGAAGAACCGCACCCAACCGATGGCCCTCATCCGCGAGGAGTTTCAACAGGCATCCGGGAGTATTGTTTCAATGAATACCATCCGTAAGGAAGCACATCTGCTTGGTTTTTATGGTCGTGCTGCTGCCCATAAGTCTTTGATCACAAACTCCAACCGCGCTGTTCGGTTAATGAGGTGCAAAGCACATCGAAATTGGACCGTAGATCAGTGGAAACGGGTTCTTGGGAGTGATGAATCAAGGTTCACCCTTTACCGTTCGGATGGCAGGGTCTGGGTCTGGCGTCTACCTGGAGAACGTCTCCTGCCAGAATGCATTGTGCCAACAGTCAAGTTCGGCGGAGGTGGAATTATGGTCTGGGGGTGTTTCTCCTGGTATGGGCTGGGACCCTTGGTCCCCATTCATCCCATTCATGGTAAGCTTAACTCCAATGCCTACTGCACTATTTTGGATGACAATGGGCTTCCTACGTTGTGGCAGTTTTACGGGTTGGACCCCTGTTACTTTCGATACGACAATGCCAGTTGTCATGTTTCGACTTTAATCAAGGCTTGGTATGGTGCCAATGGAGTTCATCGAATGGACTGGTCTGCCCAGAGTCCAGACCTGAACCCTATCGAGAACCTCTGGGACGAGTTGCATCGCCGAATTCAGGGGTGCACTACCCGTGCAAAATCGGTGAAGGAACTTCTATGTCTTCTCCAAGCCGAGTGGGAAGAAAATACCACTAGCTGTCAACAAAGACTTGTGGAAAGTATGTCCCGGAGGGTCCACGCTGTAATTACCTCTCATGGAGGCTCTACCAACTAATGATTTTGAATAAAGTTAGTTTTTTTTTTCTATCACAGGTGTCCAAATACTTATTGGTAGTCAGTGTATATTAGATTGATAGTGATAGGCAAACATTTCACAAACCGGAATCAAAGAAACAGAAGATTTTTAAATTTCTAAAGTATTGGCAAAAGTGCAATTTGAAGATGCATGTACCACTCAGGCAGAGATAAATACAAATGAAATATAACGAAATAATACAAATGAAATATAGATAAATTATGTGAATGCTAGTGCATATGCGCTCAGACGGCTTTTAGCCGCCTTCGCTATCGATTAATTGAGTGTTTTGCATTGCTGCAATCCTATTGGTCAGTTCCGTAGACTGTTTCTAGCAAGAGAACGACTTAAATGTTTTTAGGAAAAATGTGGACTTCGATCTTTTCCAGCACCCAGAAAAGAGTTGTAGAAAATTTGGTGACGATAACTATAGTAGTGACAGAGTTAATCGCGAATAAACAAACGCACAAACAGACATTATTCTTTATATATATAAATGATTTAAATTTCGAAACATTATAAACAGTACGTACCTATTTCAGGTATTCATTTGTAGAGAAATAAAGATTGATGATTTTTCCTTTTCCGCTTAAAAATGCTTCTCATTTTGGACTTAGAAATTCCAATACCATACAGTTTACAACGTTTTTGAATTATGGAATAAGAATATTTCTTTTCGAAAAGCGCAGAAACTTATCCTTCAAGCCATAGCTTGTTTAAATGCGAGACTTTGAAAGAAGAATAAATTTAAAAGTAGCACACGATATTTCTCATTTAAAAAAAAATAAGGTGTTGCCAAACGTTTTTACTTCATATACTTTTTTTGGGGGGGGGAGAAAATTTTTTTTCGAAATCGTTCTAAAAGTGTATAAACAGCTTCTGTAGCTTTTCCCTTTCCCATCTGGAGGTCCTGTGTGCACTTAAATTTGTTCCCAGTGTGCACGGAAATTAGCGATTTTTGAAATATTGCGTAAGGAATTAAGTGAACGGCTGTCCAAAATAATCATCATTCGTTTCAGAGGACTTTTTTTTTTTTCAGTGAAAGTGTATAAGGTATTTCTCCCGCCTTCTTAGCAAAACCTTCATAGTGTAGTTATATCAACGAGAGTTATATCAACGATAATATAGAGGTATTAGGTCAATACCTCTGGAATACGCCTGCTGCGTATTCCAGAGGTCTGTGGTTCGATTCCTGGCAAGGGCGTTGCTCATTTTTCATCTCTCCTGCTTTCAAAAAATACCTAATGTCTCTACAAGTGTTAGACAAATGGTGTACAACTCCTTATTTTTTATTTATTTATTTTTTACATTATGGAAATGCTGACCACTCTCTAATGTAGTCCTCTCAGGGAAGTGGTACCCCACCAGGTTTCACTGCATTTTGCTGATTGAAAGTTTTAGTTTAAGCGGACTGTATAAACGTTAGACTTTATTTTCCAGAACACTCCTATTCATAACGCTGAGAGCAATTTTATAAACTTCTCTACTCTCCCCCCCCCCGTTAAGACCTTTCTGATTGGAAATATAAGTCTAACATCAATATTTAACGAAATAAGCTCTATAGCTACTTTCTGATTTCTGGCGATATACCGAAACATTTACTGAAGTTATCAGCTAATCGTTTATTTGCTTCTGTAAGCTGTGTTCTTCAAACTAAATTCACATTCTTAAGTCATTTTCTGGGAAAAAATATTTGTTTACGTTGAATCAGTTCCTATGCGCTTCAATGTATTCATGAAACTTTTTAAGGTCCTTTCAAAACTGGATCCTTTTAATGAAATTCTTTGCAAATTTTGGATAGGATTTCTGAAATTAAGGTGGGAGGGAAAGAGGAAAAAAAAAAAAAAACTTTATGCAGTTTAATACTAAAGAAACAGAGAAGTTCAGCATTAATTTTCTCTAATAAGTAAAACTTTACCGATGGTTTCAATTTCGTTGAAGCTCAACCCATCTTTATCAAAACTTTGTTACTGTGGCAATGAATACAGCAGAAATTTGGTGTTTTGGCCTGCACAGCTATTCTCTAGACCAGATACTTCAACTTCCACGTTAAACACTGCAACTTCTAGTGCGTTCGTCATCGTAATAGCAAGCTTTAATAAAGTTAGATTGAATTTCAACGAAACTGCAGTCAACGATAAAATTTGCTCATTTATTTGTGCTGATGTCTGCGTTAAACTTGTTCAGTTGTTTCTATCATTTCTGTAACTAATATATTACAAACTTGCGGTAGATAATGTTCACATTAGATAGATTACTTTTCTTGTGTTTGTAATTATACCTGCTGTTATGCGTATATTTGTGTAATTTAATTTGGTAAGCTTGTAAAATTTTTGAATTGAAGGTTTCTTAATCAGATCTCTGGATAGATTGTAATTGATTGCTTTGAAGTTTCATTACTTTTATGTATACTTATTTGTTTTTATTTTTTACAGCCTCCATGTGCAAAAATCTGATAGTAACGAAAACGGTTTGAGGCTTGTGTTCACCAACGTTGAGAAACACCATGCAGGCACGTACACGTGTAGTGATGACCAAGGCAGTATTTCTTTCGAGCTCATCGTTTACCGTAAGTTTCCTTATATGCAGAGTTTTTAGTTTTATTTAACTAAAAGTTCATTATTTTGATTCTAAATTTAACATGTTGTTTCTAACGTTTGTGCGTCTGTCTTCTAACGTTTGTGCGTACGAGTACTTGTACAAAAATTTTAGGACTAATTTTTTAAATCAATTTAAAAAAAAAACCTTAAAAAAAAAAAAAAAAAAAAAAAAAAAAAAAAAAAAAAAACAGTTAACGCCTTCATTACAAAGACACCTCAACTTGGTTTTCCTAAAATATGGTTTATTTACTGATAGAATTTTTTATGCAGTGCATGCAATTTCCATGAGTGTTCTCTGAGTCTGCTTTGATACAGTGAACATCTGCTACCATGCTTTCGAAAGCTGAGCAAAAGAATAGCAGTTAAGTTTTGCCGTAAAACAAGAAAACAGCAATAGAAACATTTTAAATGTTGTGTAAAAGCATGGTTTAATGGTACATATTTCAATGTTTTTTTGTTGCACGTATTATTTCGTGGTGGAGACGAAAATGGTTATAATGAACTCAGGATTGTTCATTCTTCGCAGTCTCGTATGGATGACAGTATCCAAAAACGTTGGACACTTGACTGCTGACAAATCATCACACGGCTCTTTGAGTGATAGATAAACTTAATATAAAAGCACTGATCATAGAAATGCGAATTCGTAATAAATTTATTTCTAAGGGATAGATTGTAAACATCAAATATATTTTATAAAGATTAGATTGGTATCTGAGAGGACATCAACACGTTAACCCTGTAAAGCTCGTTGATATAACACATCCCTATCACATTGTTTCATTCTAGAAAGTTTTAGACTAGAAAAGCGAGTGGGAGACTCGAAATGGGGTCGCGAAAATTTAATTCAGGTACGTGAATTTACAGAAATTACAATAAGGAGATTTTTAAAGAAATGACATTAATTGGCATTAATGAGATTAATCCCTTGCCATATAAAGCCGAAAAACATTTTTTAAGCTATCGAACTTGAATTTCTGCAAAAATCCTTAACTGAATTCTAGATCGGAGCTAAAATAAATTTCCACAATTTCTGAAAGGATATTAAATTTTCTTCTACCATTCAGCAGCATATATTTATGTGAAGCGACGTTTTCAGCTTTAATGCTTAATAAATCGAAATGCCGTTCACTTAAAAACTTCATAGTTACTTTACGTCTAGCAGTGTCAAGTATTGCTCTAAGATTTAATTTGTTACACAGCAAAAAACAAGTAGACCTTTCCTTTAGTCTTCTATTTGATAATTTTCATTATTTTTGTGTTATGAACGACTGCACAAAGTCTTAGGAACGAATTGGTCCAATTTATAGCAATACCTGTGAAGAAAATGGGTTCGGATGACGAACTACCATCAAAAACGAATTAAGTTCGTGAACAAGGTTTCATTGTATATCGTAATCGTCAATATTCCAAGATTGCTCAAATTCTTTAATGTACCTCTTACTGACTGTCCTAAAATTTGCGTACAGATTTGTAAGCTAATTTTATATTTTGACAAATTGTATGAGGATTCCCTTAATTACAAGAAAGAACGAATGAGAGATACATCCAACAGCTGATGGAATGTTATCATCCTTCGCATAGACCAGATTCTTTGCTTTGTTAAACTGTACTAATTGTTCGTGTTTGAAGGATAATACAAGTCTGCTGGCGCATGGAATATGAATTAATTTAAGTAGGATATTTCAAGAAAGGGGCGTAAGGTTATTACGACAAAGCACGCGAGAATTAACTGTTTTGGGAAGACCGTGTTCTTTGATTCGGGCGGAAAACGGCTTGTATTTCTTTGTTAGGAGAAACCACGAATTGAAAAATGGTGAATCATTAGTTTGAAGATATGATTAATAAGACAATAAAAAAATTGTTTTCAAATTATTTTCCATATTTTATATATGCAGTACATTTAATGCTCAATAAGAATTACCGTGAAGCAATTAATTAAAAAAGCTGATTGCAAAACTTTGGCTATGGTACATTAATTTTTTACTTTTTTAAATTTTAAAAACTACATTGTAAAATGATTGTTACATTAAAAAAAAGTATTTTTTTGTAATAATTTATTATGCAAAGAAACATTTATTTTTGTTTCTGATGCGTCATTTTTTTTATGCAATTCAATGAATCTTAAGCCCACATATACTTATCATACTTTCATGCGATTTTTAGTCCAAAGGGGCTTTGCCCCTGAAGGACTATTGTTTTCGTTTTTGCGATTTTGCGTTCGTTCACTATAAATGTCTGTTTCACTTTTCAAACTGTTGCCACGAAATGTTAGAGTCCTGTTTTATATTTGAAGAAATTAAAAAATGAAAAATCTGCATTAAATGTATGTATATTTCTCGCATTGTGATAAAACAACGGTACATAGAGCCATCGAATTTTGAATGACGTAATCCAACTGCGAATATGGGCATGTGGAAGCCTAAATTTGAAATTTGGAATTTATTTATTATCGATTTCATATTTTGTAACAACTTTAACGAATTTTTGATTAAAAAGACCTCAGGGATTTCCAAAGCGAGCAATGGCAACTTTGTACAGAAAAAACACTTTTATCTCCAGCGCGCGAGACTCTGTATCGGAAATTCTAAAGATATGCTCAATTTAAAAGTATTTTGCGATATTGCTCTTAAACTGAATTTTATGGTTTAAGTGCGAAGGACGTAATATTTAATAAATAAAGGTAACAGACAAAATGTTAAAAAAATGCCCCTGTGGACGTAATTTAAAATCTGAAACTTTTCAGATTTTTAGTCCAGAGGGGCTTTGTCACTGAAGAACTATTGTTTTTTTTGTATAATTTTCTCAGTAAATTCCATGTAGGAGTTGAGTTATAAACAGAGTCATCTTCCTGTGATATCGCCAAAGCGAGAAATGTAAAGACTTTATTCCAAGATTCATTCTTCTCGCAGATCAACATTATATGTAGAGCTCGGAACTTTTAGATGCTATAGCGGAGGGGAGGGGGCTGAGGAATGAGGTATGCAGCATGAGGAATCTGGCATTGTCCAAATCAGTTTAGGTATACTATATTTCTCTGTTTTGCACGTAAACCATTTAATTATGCTTAAACATGAATTGTGCACGTTTATCTTTTCATTTCGCCTCTTCGTAGTTTAAAAGATTATATGGATAGAGTTATCCCACTCTGCTTCTTGCTCCTGAGCGGGTTCAGCTATATGTTAATGTGATCCCAAAGAATGATAAAACAAGTTTTGTTTTGAGAGTCCAGTTTTTGCTTTGAAAATCGTTGTTGTTTGAAAGTTACTTAGTTCGCATATATAACTAGTGACGTTGTAAGGATCTTTGGTTTGACTAACGTTTATTTTGGTTTAAAACTTTACTGTTCTCTCTTATTTTCAACTTCCGGCCAGAATAAACGCGTTAATTTGTTTATGCAACTTGTACTTGCTAACGCTTAAGTATTTTAAGTTGTGGCTTTTCGCCAAGAACAGAGTTAGATGGGGAGAGAGTGAGCCTTCTTGCCACTGTATTTCACGCGAGCTTTCAATCAGTTGCTGTCCGCCTTTAAGGCCAAAGGTTTAGTCCTCTTGATATCTAAGACATATTATAGTTTTCCGCAGTTTGCGTTCTACATACGTAATAATCTGAAAGGCCAACCTTAGTGTTAGTCATCTGTGTAAAGTATTCAAAGTTAGCTTTTATTAAATTTAGTTAGTTAGTTAGTAGTTCTTATATTTTTACGTTCAGACCACAAGTGGCTGGTCTTTGTATCCCGAAGTGCGGGAGCACCTATAATATCGCGGAGAATTAAAGGGTAAGGTTAACTCTTCTTACTTGTGCTGTCTATTCCACACATACCCGAACATAGCTTGAGTAAGCTCCTTTGTTCCGATTCAGGACATTAGATGTTCCCTAAACAGATTAGAAGATCAAGCAGTCCTGATAACGTTAGTTTTCCTAAGCATCCTCAAATCACAGTAAACCTACTCGAGGCGATTAATTGCTAAAAGGCGACAAGTATTTCTTGGAATACAAACAATCATTGGCATTAAACACCGCTTCTGTAATGTGACCATCTCCACAGAAGATTAAAGTCATCCAAAAAAATAACTGTTCATCTTGGAGAGGATGAACTGTATTTAATATTAAAGTGAAGCTTTTCTTTGAAAATATTCTGTCTTATTCGCATATGTAACCTTGACTAATACAACGACCTCAACTTTCCTGAGCCGCTTTAAATCACAGCGAATTTTTTCCAGAAGGCTGAATTCAGAAATATGACCAGCTTTGAAAGTGACCATTATTTCTCAGAACGTAAACAAAAATGGGTGTTGAACATCACTTGTCCTAAGCGACCAGTTCCACTGAAGGCCAAAATTATATGAAATCATAGGTGAGCGTTTGAGAGAGAGTTCACTATAATTTATTATTAATGTAAATTTTAAAATATTTGGAAAACTGGGAAGGAAGCTTAGAAAATGAGACCTATAATGAGACGTAAACAAGTCTAACTGCAAGAAAAACTCAACGGCACAGAATTCTAATTGCTAGAGAATCAATGTTAGCAACATGTCCTTCAAGCAGGCATAACAAGCTCTAATTTTACCCACCAAAACCTTCCTTTAAATACTTTCTTCTTCTTACTTAATTTGAATTCTAATAATAATGCATTTCGGTAGGGAAATGAAATGAAGTTTGACAGGAAAGGTACTTAAAGTAACTGGTTAAAAAATTAAAAGATTCTCTACACACTTGCATTTTAATGTCTTGAATTGTCAAAAGATTTATATGGAATGTATGCACGTGCCGAGGTCATAAAGACAAGTCCAAGGGAAAACAAAGCATCGGAAAGGGGTAAAAAGATTAATCTGAAAAATAAATTCTTTGTACTAGACATATCTTCACGTTTTGTTCATTGGATTTCATTTCCTTCAGAATCATCTTAAGAATATTCGACCGGGGGCTACATATATGTCTCTATGCTTCAAATCCACTGTACTTTCAT